TGAAATTCTTTTAAAATTTGGGTTAACTTACTCTTAAGGACAGAAACCTTGAGAATTAGGTTTCCAACAAATTCTTTTGGGAGGACATAATAAGGTCAGATTGTATTTCAAATTCTGTGGGTTTTTTCAATTTCCAATATTGTGGGTTTTTTTCTATTCCAATCTGTTATTTAGCCCATATGTAGATTTCTATTGTAGTTGTTCTATTTTATAGCTATAGAAATAAATTTATGGTTTTTTTTAAACTTTCATTATTTATTGTTCTTTATATTTATCTCATCATTTAAATACTAAAAGGTATTTAGTTTAGCTGTCTTTTCTGCTATTTACAACATCTCAATACATTTCTTTCTAGGGATTTTTTTTCCCCTTGAGTATGAGTTAATTTTTCTTTGTTACATGTACTGATTCTGAATTTTATCCTGACTATTATAAATAATGAAATGTAGAAATTGTGGACACTATTAAATTCTTAGGGGAATGATTTCTGTCTCATAAGGCAGTTACTTGGTTCAATTGAAATCCCAAACTTTTAATTTTTACAGTGATTAGTAACTATTTCTTTTTTTTTAATTTCCTTATTTGAGAGGTAGTTACAGACAGTGAGACGGAGTGACAGAGGGAAAGGTCTTCATCCCGTTGGTTCACTCCCCAAATGGCCACAACAACTGGACATGCACCAGTCTGAAGCCAGGAGCCAGGCACCTCTTCCTGGTTTCCGATGTGGGTGTAGGGGGCCAAGGACTTGGGCTATCATCCAGTGATTTCCCAGGCCACAGCAAAGAGCTGGACTGGAAGAGGAGCAACCAGGACTAGAACCGGTGCCCATATGAAATGCAGGCAGAAGATTAACCTATTGCACCACGGCACCGGCCCCAGTAACTATTTCTTTCACCTTCCAATAGTCCAATGCTTTTTATTGGTTCCTCTGAAATTTCCCATATGATTGCAGCATAGGCGTCAGTAATTTTGGTCCATTTTGCATGCAATTTTAGGAGCTTTCTCTTCTACAGTACTTAAATTTCTGTTCCCAGTATTTTTTATTGTCTTCTCAGCCCTGGATTTTTCCCTGTTACATCCTGAGTCAATGAAAAGGCAACTTTTACTTCCTTGATCTGTACATGTGCAGGAGTGTGTCTTCTGGTAATATCTCCCAAATGTGTGAGTTTCCCCTTTATATGTCCCCACAGTCCAGTTCCTCCCTTTTAGTTTGATTCCTCCTCTCTTCCCCAGGTAGTTGTGCTACAAATTTCTTCTAATTTCAGTTTCTTTTTCTGTTAAGGGTTAATCTGGCTAAATATGTTGTTATCACTATGATACTCTAGTTATTTATATTTAAAAGCATGTCCTGTACATTTAATATTCTTCATTATTCATAGTTTGATTTTTTCTGTCCCAGGAGTCACTGCTTCAGGTGTATTTTTTTACTGTGCAAGTGAATATTTCTTGCCTAGGGATGATTTTACAAAGCAGAAATAGGGAAATAGTCCTATGTGCCAGATTTAGCTCACTTTCTATTTTGGTGTGGCCTTTGAGTTCATTTGTTGTAACTTTTTCAAGGTTGCTTTGTTGCTCAGAAATCTTCATACTTACAATTTCTGTTTATTACCAAAAAAAGGACCCACTGCAATGAGCCAAGGGATGAGCTTCCAGTTGTGGAACCTTATTGTCATTGCCTGCTACTCCAACAACAGTGGGTGATAATACCCATGGGACATTGACAACCAATCTTATATGAGCCTATGTTCAGAGTCCATATTGAGGTTTCATAACAGAGATGTTTGTACACCCATATGGCTTTTGTTAGTCACCAACACATCCAGAGATAGAACTGATACCACATGGCCCAAAACCTGTCACCAGAATTACATTGTAGAAGCAAAGCGTCCATGTGGCCAAAAACCTGAAGGTCAATTAAGTCATCCTCCAGGTGACACACTCTAAATGTTGGAAGAAAACCTACCAGGAGCAGAGCCAAGAGCCAATCCTTTTTTTTTTTTTTTTTTTTTTTTTTTTTTTTTTTTTTTTTTTTTTTTACAGGCAGAGTGGACAGTGAGAGAGACAGAGAGAAAGGTCTTCCTTTGCCATTGGTTCACCCTCCAATGGCCGCTGCGGCCGGCGCACTGCGGCCAGCACACCATGCTGATCCGAAGGCAGGAGCCAGGTGCTTTTCCTGGTCTCCCATGGAGTGCAGGGCCCAAGCACTTGGGCCATCCTCCACTGCACTCCCTGGCCACAGCAGAGAGCTGGCCTGGAAGAGGGGCAACCGGGACAGAATCTGGCGCCCCGACCAGGACTAGAACCCGGTGTGCCGGCACTACAAGGTGGAGGATTAGCCTAGTGAGCCACGGCGCCGGCAATGGATATGGTATTAACAACATTTAGTTGCTGTGTTTTTTAAAAATCATGATCTAGTACCACTCTGTTTCTTCTTATCTGGATAGATCATCCTTAGTGCCTGTGGTATCCTATCAGGAATCCCATCAATGATGGGATAGGCTATTCCCAACTCTTCATTAATCAATTCATTTGTTGATGCCTCAAATTGAGCAGCTTCTTGGACAGGAGGCACACCATGAACTACAGCAGCACCTAGTTGAAGACACTGGGTGGCTGCCCCACCCTTTCACTCCCAACTGCCAAGGGCCACAACTTTGTCACATGCAGGCACCTACAGATGCCCACAGCACTGAGGCTAGCCTTCCAACCACTTCCCAGTGTGCCCCTGGCCAGCCGCATGGTGGCCCCACTAGCCTGTCACTGTGATCTCTTAACACAGTCAGAATTCCATTGTTCCTTTCTTGTGGGGAAGGTTAGTTCTAGGTATATAAGAAAAACTTTTATAGTATATTTGCAATTACAACATTAACACAGATGGAATATATTTCCATTGTGTTTTTCTTACTGTCAGCATACAGAGCACAAAATAGGCTTCATCTTACATTAGAGACACGTAAAACACACTGAGAGAATGGATTCCCTATTTACCTGTTTTGTGACCCAGAGCTGAAATGCTGAAGACAAATGCTCTGTAAAAGATATTGGTGTCATAAGACCAGACTGTTATGTCCACCCAATGTGAGTAACAGCATCTGGACAATGCTCAGAGGACCCTGCACAGGGATGTGATGCTGGAGATCTACAGCAGCCTGCCATGCTGGGGTGAGTGACACTCCCCAGTCACACCCAAATCTACCTATTTCATCTCATTTGATAAGCAAGTAGCTACCTTATAAGGGGTAATTCTGTTTAGGTATAGGATTTGAGTCCATGAAGGATGTGAGTATCCACATTCTCCAGCAAAGGATTTAAACTGGCCCTTCTGTTGCACAACTCCTGAACCCAAGCCATTGTCTTTCAAAGAACTTGACTTAATGATGACAAATTCCTTCTTCCTTCCTTCCCCTCTTCCCCTCTCTCTCTCACCCCTCCCCCTTTTCTTGCTTTCCTTGAAAGGAACAGTTAGAGAGCTCTCCCATCTGCTGGTTCACTCTCCAAATGACCACAACAGCTGGGTGTGGGCCAGACTGAATCCAGGCACCTGGGACTCCATCTGGGTCTCCCTGACATGGGTAGCAGGGTCCCAAATATTGGAGCCAACTTCTGTTTTCCCAGGTGCATTAGCAGAGAGCTGGATTGGAAGTGGAGCAGCCAGGACCCACTGCACACAGAGATTTAACCTGCTGGGCCACAATGCCAGCATGAAGTACAACGAGACTAGATTGTGTTCGAAGAACTGCCTGCTGCAGTTGTTTCTCCTCAACCCTTTCCTAATTATAATCAGTCCCTCTCTTGTGAGATCTCCAGGGCACTCCCACCCCCCAAATGACCATATAAATACTCTCAGCTTTTCCAAACCTCCAGACTGAGTGTAGGCGGGGAGTGTTTTTGTGTTTGCCCACATATATAAATACCCTCTTTTCAGTTGAGTTTCTGAAGAGGATAAATGTTTCCCTCCTCCCTCGGTGCACTTGTCTGTCTCCCAGCACTCCCCACAGTGCGGCAGAAATTGTAATATTCAAAGAGACCAGAACTGCCTGGCTCTGGACTGCTACACAGGAAACAGGGGACTAGGAATACAGCGTGGGACTGAAAGAGCCCTTAGGAGGCATGAGGTGGAGTAGAGAGCTGGAATTCCAACCAGGGAAGAGACGCAATTCAGGGGTAGGCTAGGAAGAGAAAGAGGGGTGAGGGGTAAGTTGTTAAAGTATTTGCAAAGTCAAAAACCCAAGGGGCTTAGCAAGATGGGGAGGAACAAGTACATAAGGGCTAAGTTGGAAAGAGGTGAGGGACCACCAGAGTCTGCAAGTGATTACGGGGTAAGTTTAGGGGACCCAGAGGGTGACCTTCAAACAGTGGCCTGAGCCCCAGATTAAAGTAGGGGTAGCAGGGAAGTGTAGGGGGCGGGGCATCCCGGGTAGAGACTGAACTGGCTCCCAGAATCTGCAGCGAGTGGAGAGAGAAAGGGGGCAGAAGGCAAGGGGTTCAGCAGCGGGGGAAGCCCTGGAAAGATGCCGGGGGTGGCTAAGGGTTGGGACGGGGATGGTGGGGGAGGGGGGCTCCTGGAGAGCACACGAGTCGTGCAGCCGGAGCCTATGTCCACGGGACGGACCTGTATCGGCCATCCGGGTCGCGGGCGGGAACCCCGGAACCGTGGCCGCATAGCCACTTCTCCTGCACCGGGGGACCTTGGGGCGGGCTCCACCGCGCGCCTCCCTGAGGGACTGGAAGGAGGAGGGCTGCCGGGAGAAACGACCCGTTGACTGACAGCAGGTATCGCCCAGGAGCCTGCAACCTGAGCCGCCGGCCTGTCCCGCGCAGGTGCCGAGCAGCACCGTCCTGGGAACTTGGAAGAGAGAAGTGACGCAAGCGCGCCGGGTTTGCCGGCCTCTCCGCGCAGGCGCAGCAGAACTGGCGAAAAGCGCGCGGCGGCGGTCCAGTGGCCGCAGGAGCCTGGCGTTAAGGATTCTTTTCCCTCCTAACAGGTTCCTGGCGTTAGCAGCCGTGAGGTGGTCTCCAAGTTGGAGCCAGGAATAAAGCTGTGATGGTGGAAGAAGCCCTCAGCCTGAGCCTCTCAGGTCCGTCAGCGCCTTCTGAGTGGGAGGCTGGGACTAGGAGGAGTCAGCGGGTGTGCTGCGCGCTTCTCCCGGTTCCTCCTGCGCTCCCGGTCTTGAGGAGAGTTGGTTCAGGCATCTGCAGTCTCCATGGTAGGCTCTCCTGTGTGCATCCATCCTCCTTGTGTTCTGTTGTCACTGACTGTGCCAGTGTTTTATTTTTTGTCTGCACTTTGTTGAAACGGGTTACTCCCGTTAGTCCTGGAATCCTGGTCCGAGTCTGACCTCTATTTCCTTCTCTGACCCTGTTGGATACCCTTGTACATAAAGACAGTCGTGTGTGGTGCTATAATAGTTTTACTTGGATTTTAGTCGTTTTATTGTCATTATCCCCCTTCATGTTGATCCTCAGTTTCATTCAAAGTTGCTGTGAAATTCTGTTTCCCAACCACAAGGTCCTCTCTGACTTCTGATTGGATTTGCTTTTAGCTTAGATCTCAGCAGATCCCCAGTCAGGACGGACACTTCACCCAGGTCTTCCCAGGTGACCAGGCTACATGCTGATGGGTGCTCTAGCTGTAGTCACGCCTTTCTTGTTGTGCATGCTGAGGACAGTCCTGCAAATCACCCTCCCACCTCCACTGCTGCCCTTTGGGGAAAAGCACGTTAGCCCTAGTCCATGGCCTTTGAGGATCCCCCAAATGCAGTCATGAGATACATACCTGCAATACAAGAATAAACAGATTTAAAGGGAAATAAATGCTTATTTGTGTTTTGTAAAAAATTAAACAAAGGTGAGGTAGCTATTCTTCCCTCAGAATTGACTTAAAGATAATTTTTTTAGAGACTGAGAAAAATCAGTTGTTTTAAGAGATTTAATTAAGTGTATTTAAAAGCTATACTTTTTTGTATATTTCTGTCAACTCACATATATAAAGTGAAAACTAGTGTAAGGGAGCTGGCAGATCGTAGTAGGAGACATAGTCACCTCTCTCCATGGGTTTATAGATGGAGTACAGCAAGGAAACAGGGGTAAGAAACAGAAAAGAAGAAAACAAAAGTAGGACCTGGAACATGGAAGCTTTAGTTATTCAAACTGGATGCCCCAAATATTGATGCTCATTTTTTAATTTTTCACCAAGCTGGGAAGATATGATCCCAAAGCACTGGTCCTGTCCTGCAAACTGCTTTGTATCAGACAAGCGTCTTGCAGAGTATCTCTGCTCCCCAGAGTATCTTTCAGGCAGTTGGGAGGAGACCCAGGCTCCGAGAGGGATCAGGAGTGGGTTGAACGGGGGAGGTATATATTTGGACAGAGCTGAAGCCAGGCTTACTTGGGAAGGTAGTGACTTCAGGGCCTTCTTCCTGAGCCTGCGTGTCTCAAAAATGAGGTCAAGGGGTAGAGGGAAGGAGTGACTGGGAATGATGGGACTCACTGTGAGTGCAGCATGGATTATGGATGAGGCTGCACACATTCTGTCCACACTGTGCGTCTGATCTGTCTCCTGAGGTGGAGCAGTTTCAGTACCTGGTCACCTGGTTCAGGAACCACCAATGGCAGTGGGCAGGACCTCATTTGCTTTTGCTTTCTGAGATGTGTGCAGCTGCTCCTGTGACTGGACTAGGGTTCTGATTTCTCTGCCTTTCTTGACCACCACTCATACAGTGTTCATCAAGATCCTTGCATATCCCCTGGTCTCCAGATGAGACATGGGGATCATTTTCCTGATGAAGAAATTCTGTATTTATCAGTGAGTAGCATAGTTCTCTCTTTTACCAGGGTTGCAGATATACTGTTAGTGTCCAGGAGATCCAAACATGCTCAAGCTGCTTACGTGTGGAACTTGGCTTTAACACTATACATTTCTTGACACTGCAAGCTAAGCAAGCCTGCCAGGCGTTGGGTGGACAGAAGCAAGTGGGTTGTGAATCTTGCATGGCCTGTCCCAGAGGAATCAGCAGAATGCAAAAGTGAGACAGGAATGAGTAGAGCAAATTGGGGTCAAGGAGAGATCCTGTAACGGTATGGCTGGGTGCAGAGATAGCAGGATCTTGCTGGGCAGAAAGATCTCACAATGTGCCATCATCCCTAGCCCCTGGTTCCCTACCTGCAAGTAGCCACCGCTGCACCGTCGTTTCTTTGTCTTTTTCCACTCTACCTTCTATATATCTTTTTCCTCTTTGGTTTGGCTTTAGCTTTTTCCAATTTTTCTAATTTCTTAAGGTAGAAGGGTAGTTTACTGATATCAGATATTGTTTTTAAAATATCCCCCATTCACTGGTTTACTCCCTAGATGCCCACAACAGCCAGAGCCAGACCAGGGTGAGGCCTAGATCCTGAAACTCCATTCCTGTCTCTCTCATGCACGGAAGAGACTCAGGTACGTGATCCATCACTTGTGTGCACATTTTCAGGAAGCTGGAATATTGGGCAGAACCAAGGCTCAATCCAGGACATGGACATTTAAAGGGGCATTTTAACCACTAGGCCAAATGTGGCGCCCCTAATTTTCTCTTGTGATCCTTCATAATCAGAAAATACCTCCTGTGAGTTCAGTCCTTTTAACATTTATTTAGTCTGTTTTATGACTTAGTGAAATCTTATATGCATTTTGGCTTTTCAGAGTTCAGATATAAACAAGATAATATATTTGCCTTTCTGTGCCTGACTTGTGTCACATAATATAATATGCTCTATTCATGTATCTTGTCATGTGACAGAATTTTCTTCTTTTTCAATCTGAGTAGAATACATTTTAAGTCCATTCATGTGTTGGTGAACATGTTCATGGTTTTTATGTCCTTATGTACTCCACATGGGAGTACAGCTATATCTTAAATATAATGGTTTCATGTTCAAATATATACTTAGTTTTGGAATTAATAAATCCAATGCAAGTTCTATGTTATGTTTTTAGAGGAAACTTCATACTACTTTCTAAGCTGTCTGATTAATTTACATTTCCCAGAGACTTTGTACTTATGAACACTTACTATTTGCATCTTTTGATAGTAGCTATTCCATCAGGTGAAAAGTGATACATTATTTTTGTTTTATTTGTGTCTCATCATTAATAATATCAAAGATGTTTTCATATGTTTGACCATTTATATATCTTCTACTGAGAAATGTCTATTTGGTTTCTTTTCTTATTTTAATAAAGATATTTGAGTTATTTTGAGTACTTAGATTCCCTTATACATATTGTTGTTAGCCTCTTACTTTCTAATGTGTGGCTTTTCTCTTCACTTTGTCATTTATCTTGCAGTATAAATAGTTTTTTAATTTCCTATAATCCCAGTAATCTGTGATTTCTTTAATGCCTGGCTTTTGGAATCACATCCAATAATTCATTTTCTGGACTGATGTCTTGGACTTTTTCCTGTTCTGTTAGTACTTTTCTAGTTTTAGATTTTATATTTGAGCATGAAATCTATTTTTTAGTTGATTGCATATAAATATTTAGATGTAGCCAATTTATTTTGCATGTGGATGGCACTTTTTTCGCAGGATTTGTTGAAGAGACTACTATTACTACATTTTATGTTTACTACATTTATGTACCTTATTTGAAAATCAGTTAATTGTCAATTTTTAGGTTTATGTCTGGGCTTTCTGTCCTAGTCCATCAGTCAATGTTTCTGTTTTTGTGGCAGTACCATGCTGTAGCTTTGTAATACATCTAGCTTTGGTGTTTTTGCTAAAGATTGTTTTGGTGATTCTTAATCTTTCCTGTTTATACAAATTTTAATATTTTTTCTGTTTCTGTGAAGAATGACATTAAAATTTTGATTGGGATTGCATTAATATCTACATGTTTTGTGTGGGTAGGAAGGACATTTAACAGTGTTATTTTTCTGATCTATGAACATGGACTAGCTTTCCATTGTTTCTGCTGTCTTCAATTTCCTTTATTCATATGTCACACTTTTGAGTATACAGATCGTTCTCCTTATTGGTTAATTCAATCATAAGTAGTTTATTTTATGATGTTTAAATGAGGGCTTTATTTTAACTTTATTTATTTATTTATTTGAAAGGCAGAGTTACAGAGAGGCAGAGGCAGAGAGAGAGAAGTCTTCCATCCACTGGTTCACTCCCAAAATGGCTGTGGTGGCCAGAGCTGGGCTGATCTGAAGCCAGGAGCCAGGAGCTCCTTCCAGGTATCTCAAGTGGGTGCAGGGACCCAGGGTCCTGTGCCATCTTCTACTGCTTTCCCAGTCCATAGCAGAGAGCTGGATTGGAAGTTGAGCATCCGGGACTGGAACTATTGCCCATGTGGGATGCTGGCACTGCAGTCAGCAGCTTTCCCCCTATACCACAGTGTGGCCACCACAATGTATTATTAATTACTTCTTTAATCTCTGTCATTTCCTTTTCTTGCTGATTTTCTATTTAGTGTTTTTCCTAATTTGTTGAGCTATAACATTAGATAATTAAATTGTTTATTTGATATCTTCTTTTTTGTTCTGGTGGTATGTACTACATTTTGCTACATCCTATTAGCTTTGTATGCTGTTTCCTTATTTTCTTCAAGGTATTTTTAGCTTCCCTCTTTAGTTTTTCTTTGATCCTGTAGTTATTTAGGGTTGTATATGGCTTAGTTCCTACATATTTGTATATTCTCTAATTCACCTATTATTAATTTCTATTTTCAGACCACTAGGGTGTGAAATTATACTTGATATGATTTTAATCTTAAATTTGTTGACATTATTTTTGTGGCTTAATGTATGACCACATATATTCTATGTGTATTTGGATGACTTTTGATTTTATTGTATTGTTCTTGGACAAAATATGTTTTTTTTGTTGTTCGTTTTCTAGATTTTATTTATCCCAAAAGTTACCTTTAGCAAGGTCAGAAGTACTTGTCCTTGGGAGCTTCCAGTTTTGTCATGAGGTCTTTGACTCTAATAAATCTTGCTTTTAAATCTCAAAAATTATTTTGTATTTATTTATTTGGGAGGCAGAGCTACAGAAAGGGAGAGACAGAGAGAAAAGTCTTCCATCTGCTGGTCCACTCCCCAAATGACTGCGATGGCTGGAGCTGAGACAATCTGCAGCCCAGAACCAGGAGCTTCTACCAGGTCACCCTCACGGATTCAGGGGCCCAAGCACTTGGGCCATCCTCCACTGCTTTTCCCAGGCCATAGCAGAGAGTTGAATCAGAAGAGGAGCAGCCAGGACTAGAACTGGCACCCACATGGGATGCCTGCACCATAGGCGGAGTCTCAGCTCACACCATAGCACCAGCCCCCAGAATGTTTTGTATATGTCTGGTAGGACCATTTGTTCCTAATGCATAATTCAGTCCCAATGTTTTCTTGTTGATTTTCAATCTAGATGATCTATTGTAGAAATGGGGATTTGAAATCCCTGCCTTTATTGTGTAATAGTCTGTTTTCCTTTAAATTTCTTATATGTATTCCTGTGTGTTAGAGACAGAGAGATAGTCTGAGTTTAGGTGTGTGTATAATTTTATATCCACTTGATGAACTGATACTTTTATCACTATGCAGTGACCTTTGTCTCTTTGTTACAGCTTTGGCCTAAAGTCTGATTTAGGTTGATCTGACTTATAGTTACCTCTGATTATTGTTGCTTTCATTTACATTGATTATCTTTCCATCCCTTCACTTCCAATCTATAAATGCCCTTTAAAGTAAATGAGCCTCTTATAGCCTCTATATAGTCATATCGTTATCTTTTTTTTATTCTCCATCCATTGTTATGCCTGTTATTTAGAGAATTCATGTACATTCAAAATAATTATTAAGAGGGTGAGGATGTATTACTATTTTATATAGTACTATTTGTTATAAATTCATCTTTTTTCATCTCTAACCCAATATCCTTTGTGACTTGATGATTTTCTATAGTGACATACTTTGAATCTTTTAAAAAATCTTTTTGTTATCTTTATTTCAAAAAGTTAATGAATTAGAATAAAATATAAGTTTATTTTGGTGAAAAATATTTTGAAATTACACATTTTCCTGAACTTTTAAGAGATCCCTCATGATATAGTTGTTTGCCTAGTGGTTTTCCTAATTCTTCTATTTAAAAAATAAAAATAAAAACTCTAGGTTGAGAGCCTTATCTGATATCAGTCACAGGACTATCCTTTTACTCCCCCTCCTCTACATTTTATGTTGGAATGGTCACATTTTCACCTTATACTTTGTATCATTTAGGAAATGTTGCAGCTATAGTTATTTTTCATTTATTTATTTATTTTATTTAAGAAGTAGAGATACAGATGGACAGAGGTAGAGAAAGAAAGAAAGGTCTTCTGTGCACTGGTTCTCTCCCCAAATAGCCACAACAGCTGGAGCTGGGGTGATCTGAAGCCAGGAGCCAGGAGCCAGGAGCCAGGAGCTTCGTCCAGGTATCTCATGCAGGTGCAGGGGCCCAAGCACCTCAGCCATTTTCTACTGCCTTCCCAGGCCATAGCAGAGAGCTGAATCAGAAGCAGATTAGCCAAGACATGATCCTGAGACAAGAACTGGTGCTGACCTGGGACTGCCAGTGCCCACAATGTAGAGGCTTAGCCCAGTACGCCCTAGCTTCAGCCCCTATAGAGTGTCTTTTAAACCTTTTACTAGTGATATATTTATCAGTCCTCCATAATTAGAATATAGTGGTTTGAATCTGATACTGGATGCACACTGGCTGATGAGCTTTGTATTTTCACATGATTTCTTTTTTTTATTTATTTTTATTTTGACAAGTAGAGTTATAGACAGTGAGAGAGAGAGACAAAGGTCTTCTTTTCTGTTGTTCACTCTCCAAAGGGCCACTATGGCTGGCACTGCACTGGCCTGAAGCCAGGAGCCAGGTGCCTCCTCCTGGTCTCATGTGGATGCAGGGCCCAAGCACTTGGGCCATCCTCCACTGCCTTCCCGGGCCACAGCAGAGAGCTGGACTGGAAGAGGAGCCAACCAAGACTAGAACCCAACACCCATATGAGATGCCGGCACTGCAGGCAGGATTAACTAAGTGAGCCACAATGCCGGCCCCTCACATGATTTCTTTATACTAGTTAGTATCCTCTTCCTTCCCCTTGAAGAATTTCCTTTAGCAGTTTTTCCAGTGAATGGTGATAAACACCTTTACCTTTTTTTTTTTTAATAAAGTTTCTTTATGTTCCATTTTTGAAATACAGGATCACTGAAAATAATACATTGATTCACATTTTTTGTTTACTTCTTTAGGACTTTGAATAAACCATACCACTCCCTCTGGACTGCAAAATTTCTGCTGAAAAATATATTGACAGTCTTATACAGTTCCATTGCACATAGTGAGTTGTCTTTCCAACACTACTCTCCAAAGTCTGTTTATGTCTTTAAGTGAAGAGCCAATTTTTCAAACCTTTTTAAATGTAAAAATGTGCATTTCCTTCCCTGACCCTCTGTCCTCCACCCTTCTTTCTTTACACTTAACCCAAAATGAACCCATTTCCTTTCTTCAAAAGTTTTAGAGGAATCTTGCATCTCCTGCTCATGCCACAGCCCTGTGCTCCTGCCCCAGGCCCTGACTTGCTCTGACACACAGCAGCAGGCAGGGATGGTGCTGTGCCTCTTGTCCACTGGATATGCTGAAAGTTACTCCCTGTCTGAAATTCTCCTAGGTAAGGTACCCTGCACTGGTTTCTTCATGCTGGATTCATCCCAAGGGTTAGGGAGGTGGGGGTGATATTGAGGCCTGAATTTCTGAGGGATCCCTCCTTCTTTAGGGCAGTCTCTTCCTAAGGAGACATGTCTGGGGCAGGGTGGGGAGGCAGGAAGCACAATAGGAAAGGGGTAGATGGAATGTTTGAGAAAGTGTTGAAAGTACACCTGCAGTTTGGGGAAGTTCCATAGGATATACTTGCTGGCCAAGGATGGTAACTGCCCTTTGGAGAGCTCAGATACAGTGCATGGACAGAGCTAGGATATCCTTGGTGACCCTGGTATTCTAGCATACATGCTATCCAGTCACTCCCTGGCATTGAATATGGGGATTGGCATACCAGTGTCATGCCCCTAGAGGGCAGAATCTCATTGTTTAGCAGCCTTCTCTCCAAAATCTACACATTCCTCTCCAGGGTGAGTCTTTGTCACAGTCTTCCTTGTGTCAAGGTCCCCCTCTTCTCCTGGCATTCCCCTTTCATTCTCCCCCTCTTGGTGAAAAGTGACTTTCACTTGTGTCCTTCCCATGACTATAATTAAGATGGTTATTGTGCAAAGGCTAAGTCAGTTGTGTAGACATGTGGATGGCACCTGCCCCTTTCTTAATGAATAGAGCTCCCTCCACATGCCAAGGCTGCTGTGACAGTGTTGGTATGTGTTAAACAGAACCCTCCAGCTTGCATCCCCTGTTCCCAGCCCTTACACCATTGTCACCATTTTGTGTTTTTACATTTCCATCAGAACCTAGAACTTTTGTTTTCATTTTGAAAGGGAAATGAGTTTTGAGAAGGCTGAGAACACAAGTATCACATAACAATTTAGCTCAGTTTCTCCTATACTTTCAGGTGCAATGGAGAAGTCATTTGGGACATAGACTCCTAGGAGTACTTTCTCATCTGGCCTTGTACTAGGCATGCACTTTGTCATCTCTTTCCCTTACATGTCTGTTCCTCCTTAATCTGTCCTCAAAACCTATGGCAACTTCATTATGGTGCATGATGTGTTAGAGTAAATGTCCCTTTGTCTATAGCACAGTCTGTAGCACAGGAATGCCCCTGGCCAGAATGTCCTCACTGTAGCATATTACAGCCTTATTGGTGAGAATGCACATGTTCTTGTTAGAATGTGACAAAGAGTAGACATCCTCAGACATCAAGTAACAGCACTGGAAACAGCAATCTAAAGTCACTTGAAGTCATACTTAGTGGTCCATCCTGCTTTACCTGCCCTTATGTGGGTCTTTTTGAGGTGACGCCACTTATCTCTTACCACTTATCTCCAGATACTTTTGAGGTCTCAGAATCAAGAGATGTATTCTTCAGGTTTTCTGTTGTTGTTGCTAGGGCTTGAGACACAGCACCCCTAAAGTGACAGTAGGAAACCAGAATACACTGCTCCAACATTCACTGCTCTTCGCTATTATGTGCTGGTTATTCTGGGAAACTGCAAGCACCAAGGAACTGTGAAGTGTGCTTTGTTAATAAAAGTTTCCATCTATAAAAATATTAGAATTATTATCCTGTTATTTTAATAGTAGACTAGTATTAGTAGTGTTCTAACAAACATTTCAGGAAGAAGGGGGCTCTGGACAAGCATTACTACCAAAGAGGGTTTTTATCCATTTTGAGCTTTAGCTGCTGACACATTAGATTGTGAGTCAGTTCTGTGTCCTTTCCAATCAGATTTCATTAGAATTACATACTTTAGTGCAGTAAGAGATTCCTTTTATATATTGCTCACAGATGCTACATTCTTTTTTATAATATGTTATAAAAACAAAGGCAGGCTATACTTGTATATGTGGACTAAACATATGGAAATGTTACCCACAAAATGTGGCTCTTATAGTCTGCAGCTTTGTAATGTAGAATTTCAGGGCTCCTGTATGGCAAAGACTTTAGCTTGGGAGGTTAGTAAGACTCAAATTCTAGGCCGGCACTGTGGCTCACTAGGCCAGTCCTCCGCCTGAGGTGCCGGCACTCTGGGTTCTAGTCCCGGTTGGTGTGCGGTTTGTCCCAGTTGCTCCTCTTCCAGTCCAGCTCTCTGCTGTGGCCCGGGAAGGCAGTGAAGGATGGCCCAAGTGCTTGGGCCCTGCACCCATGGGAGACCAGGAGAAGCACCTGGCTCCTGGCTTTGGATCAGTGCAGTGCGCCAGCCATAGCGGCCATTTGGGGGGTGAACCAATGGAAGGAAGACCTTTCTCTCTCTCTCTCTCACTAACTCTGCCTGTCCAAAAAAAAAAAAAAAAAAAAAAGATTTTGTGCTTAACTTCTTGGAGGAGGTCTACTATGGGCCTGTGTTTCAAAAGTCAAAGTATATCATGCAGAATTCAATGGATGCTTTGAATTAGCCTCCAGCACTTCACTTTAGCCATGGACACACTCATTGTGTTTCCTTTAGAAAGGTAAATATCAAGACTTTACTGCTTGCAAAGTTTTGTCTTACCCTATTAATGTTCATGGTGATTTATGGAGCGATTCTGCAGAAAGTTCTATGAGTGTTTATAGGGAATGAGTTGTGTAGTTTTATATGTACACACACTCAGAACATTCCTTTAGCTCTTTTTCTCACGACTCAAGACTACTACAGTTAAATGATCTGATTATGGACTCAGTCAATAAATGTAACTCATTTTTACTGGATGCTGTTTTGATGTCATAGCCATGATTTTCTATTAATTTTAATTTTCCCATTCTACTGTACTTTTATGTTTGATCAAGAATAAGCCTAATGACTGAAAGGATATACTGGATTTGGAGACTCGACCAAGACAGCACTGTGATCATCTCGGAGTGTGAGGCAGCTACATGTAGCCTGTGAGCAGTACATGATGAGAAAGATGTAGAGGCACCCTGTGATGAGCTCCTTGTATGCATGTCAGTGTCTGCTACTTTAGATCCACTCATGTGTGAGCTCTGCTGAGAGGGAAATACTCTGTAGTCAACTGGAACTCATTCAGCCAAAACCTTGATTTTGCATCCCTACTATCTATTGACTGGACTTCCATGTGCATATTTTGAGCTTAATTATACCTCTATTATCTCATTTCAGATAGTGAAAACTAGATAAAGAGTATAGATTATGATCAATGATCATTGTTACTAAGCAGCCAAAATATGATTTAAACTAAGATCTGGGGCAGGTGTTGGCCTGGTGGTTAAGATGGTACCTGGGACACCTAAATCCCATGCTAGAGTGTCTAAGTTTGCATCTTACTTCACTCCAAATTCCAGCTTTCTGCTGATGCACAGCTGTCATTGATTTCTCAGCCCCATTTGGAGACCTGAATTGAGTTCATGGCTCTGAGATACAGCCTGGTCCATCCCTGGCCATTATAGTCATTTGAAGAGTGAACCACCCAATGGGACTCCCTCCCTCTCTCTATCTGAAGCTCTCTGTCCCTCAAGTAGATTAATATAATTTTAAAAATACAAAAATTAAGGTCTGTTTAGCTTTCTAAAAATATGTATTTATTTATTTTTAAGTCAGTTACACAGAGAGAGCGAGACACAGAGATCTTCTATCCACTGGTTCATTCACCACATAGTCACAATGGCTAGAGCTGGGCCAGTCCAAAGCATGGAGCCAGGAGCTTCTTTCAAGTTTCCCATGTGGGTGCTTGGGCTGCCCTCTACTGCACTCTGAGGTACGTTAGCAGGGAGCTGGATCAGAAGTGGGGCAGGTGGCAGCTTAACCTGCTATGCCACAATGCCATCTGTTTAATTTTTAAACTTGAGTTGTTTGGGGACCATAGGTAAGTCTTAAAAGCACCCAAAGTGTTAATTTTAAAAAGCTGTGGATGTAGTTGAAAAGCTGGAAATCAGAAGACTAAGCACATTGATCTATATAAGATCAGCAGCTGCAAAGGATGATAGGCTGAATGAACCATCAATTCTCTTGACTCTTGTTAAAATTTTTAGCTGGAGGGGTCTGTGCTGTGGCACAGTGGGTTAATGCCCTGGCCTGAAGTGCCAGCATCCCATATGGGTGCTGGTTCGAGACCTGGCTGTTCCACTTCCAATCCAGCTTTCTGCTATGGCCTGGGAAAGCAGTAGAAGATGGCCCAAGTCTTTGGGCCCCTGCCCTGTGTAGGAGACCTGGAAGAAGCTCCTATCTCCTGGCTTGGGATTGGCACAGCTCTGGCCATTGTGGCCTGGGGGAGAACCATCAGATGGAAGATCTCTCTCTCTCTCTCTGCCTTTCTCTCTGCCTCTTCTCTCTGTGTGTAACTCTGACTTGCAAATAAATAAATCTTTAAAAAAAATTTAGCTGGAAGGACAATTGACACCTTTTTTAAAAATTTGAGACAGGGAGATAAGAGAAACAGAAACAGAGAAGTCTCCCACCTTCCAGCCCAACTTACATATAAATTTCTGCAGTGCACAGGCCAAGGACAGGAAACACAGTTCTTCTCTTCCATGTAAGTGGCAGAGACAGAATTAAATGAGTGCTAACTTGGTGTCTCCTGGGATGCACAGTAGCAGGAAGCTGGAGGTGGGAGCCAAGCCAGGATTTGAACCTAGGTAGCCTAATATGGGACAAGGGCATCTTAAACCTATATCTTAATCACTAGAGCAATCACTAGATCAAATGCTCAAACTAGATCCACAATCTCAGGGCCAGAAGTATCATTTATGGTTTATATTCTTATGACAGTAGAGAATCAGGATGCAGGGAACTGTAAAATCCAAAAATAACAAGGATGATCTCTGTAGAGAGATGTCAGAGTCATATTGTAAATCCTGTGCCAGAGAGAACCAAATCACTCCTCCCTCTGTAACTCTGGAGGCCTCTTAGTCAAAGTCAGTTTCTCCCAATGGGAGCTTCTAGTCAGGTTTGCTCTTGCCCATACTATCCAACAGCTCAGTGATCCTGCTAAAGTGCTTTGTTGTGGGACATTCTCTTTGATACTTCCCTCTCTGAATTAAAAAATGACAAGGCAATGGATGCCTTATGTATTACTCATTTACAAAGAGACCTGAGGTGTATAAGGCAGGGGACCTTGTTATCAGGCAGTCAGAAAGGCTCATTTACAAATTAGGGATCGATGTAAATATTGAGGTCTATTGGATTTAAAAAAAAAGAAAATTTATTTGAATCAGTTACAGAGAGAGGAGAGACAGAGATCTTCTATATGCTGGTTGACTCCCCAGATGGGTGCAATGGCCAGTGGTGAGTCAGGCTGAAGTCAGGAGCAAGGAACTTCTATTGGGTCTTCCACATGGGTGGCAGGGGCTCAAGCACCTGGGCATCTTCTGCTGCTTTTCCTAGGCCATTAGTAGAGAGCTGGATCAGAAGTGGAGCAGCTGGGACACAAATGGCACCCATAAGTGATGTCAGCATAGCAGGCAGCAGTGCTATCTGCTACCCCACAACACCAGACCCAAAGATACTGCTTTTGGATGGAGATTCTTCTGGGCATTTTATTCCCTGTCTGCCCCACCCTTTATTCTCTTACACATATGTTCCAGGTAGATTATGTTTAGAAGATAATCCTACTATAATTTATTTCTAGTAAGGATTGTTTATCAAGATTAATAAATTTAATGGTTTTAAGAACTTTGGATTACATGCAACTGAAAGACCATGTTATAAAGAATTGGGTACTATTTAAACACTTGGCATGTGCTAAGAATTAATAAAGTAACCTAACATGCAATGATGAAATTAAGAATCCAGCAAAGATAAAAGTCTGGGTAAACCTAAAAATGCATGTAGAGGACGGGCATTTGGAATAGCAGTTAAGATGCCAGTTACGATATCTGCTTTCCACATTGGAGGGTCTGAGTTCAGATTCAGACTCTGACTCCTGATTCCAGTTTACAGCCAGTATGGGCCTTGAAAGGCAGCTCAAGAATTTGGGTCCTTGCTGTCCATGTGCGAGATCTGGATTGAGTTCCCAGCACAGAGCTCTGGCCAAATACAGCCCTGACTGTTCCAGCATTTAGTAAGTGAATCAAGAGATGCGAGCTCTTTCTTTTTCTTTCATTCTTCCCCCCCCATCCCTTTGCCTATCAAACATGCCTGTAGAAATTCATGGTGTAATCAGTCCTTGGATTGATAGAAATTCTCCTGAAGAGATGCTTACATATTGATTTAAAAATGTATAACTGTACTTATATAAATGATCATATTTAAAATTTCCCCTGTATTATCACTGTAGTTTTACATCATTCAAAACTTTTTAGCATAGTGATTTTTTTTCAGTGTGAAGCAAAAGTATTCCCAAACTATTCCTTAGGTTTCCATTCACCTCTTTTCAAATGAATCCCAGTCTTCACCTCATTTCTCTTAAAAGTAGCATTTCCAACTAAGGTACAGAAAAGGGAAATTTTTCTTAGAATTGCGTATTTTATTTGAGAGGCAGAGGGACAGAAACAGAGCGATCTTTCATCACTTGTTCACTCCTCAAATGACCGCAATACCCAGGACTGGACAAAGTAGAAGTTCATCTGGGTCCCATGTGGGTAGCAGGTCCCAAACACCTGGGGCATCAACTGATGCTCACCAGGTGAGTGAGCAGCTGGATCAGAAGCAAAGCAGGGATGGTGCTGTGGCATAGTGGATGAAGTTGCTGATTGCGGTGCCGCCATCCTGTATGGGAACTGGTTCAAATCCTAGCTGCTCCTTCCAATCCAGCTTTCTTCTATGGCCTAAGAAGGCAATAGAGGATGGCCCAAGTCCTTGGGCCCCTGTGCCTGTGTGGGAGACCTGGAGGAGGCTCCTGGCTCCTGGCTTCAGATCAGCACAGCTCCAGCCGTTGCGGCCATTTGGGGAGTGAACCAGTGGATGGAAGACCTCTCTCTCTCTGCCTCTACCTGTGTCTCTGCCTCTCAAGTAAATAAATAAATATTAAAAAACTAATCAGGACTTAAACTGGCAGCCAGATATGTAACTGAAGGGTTAAAAATTAAAAGCTGCTCCCGCTCCCCTGCCCTCCTCTGGTGAACTTTCCCACCTCATTAGACTTGCTCTGTATAGCCATTCTCTTTAAAGTTAGTTAGTCAGTGAATTACCCCAATGTAGATGTAACCTTAGTTTCACCTAAGTAAGATAGAAGGAGTCACTGTTTAGAAATTAACAAACCTTCACTAAGAAATCTATTTGCTCCTGGAACTCTGACCCCACCATATGTCCCTTATCGCCATTCGGCTGCATTCCTAGGTATCATCGAGGCAGTTCCCGTAACCTTGTTGTGTGGCCCTCCCTTTTGGTAATAGGAGGCTTTTTGATCCTCCCTGTATAGGCCATATGGTTCTCTGATGTCTAATCAAGCCCTTACTCGATATCCTGTACTCCCTGTATTCATAAATCAACTGATTGTAAAATCACTTAACTTGTATCAATTGTTTACTCTGCACCGACTGTTTGATCTATGCAATGATTGATTTTCTTTGTTTAAACGTGTATAAAAACCCCACTCTCTACTTCTCAGGGCCACCTGTTCTCTTACCTCAGGGGCCCCAACATGTTGGATCATCAATAAACCTTACCCTTTGCTAATTGCATGAGAGAAAGCCTCTTGGAGTCTTCTTGGGGTGGTGCTTTTTCAACTCTAACATAACCTGCTGTACCACAGTGCCAGCCCAAAAGTAAAGTCTTGAAATCACTCATAGTTGTTCTACATTAGTATAGGCACTGTGGCCTAACAGGTGGGGCCACCGCCTGTGGTGCCGGCATCTCATATGGGCACTGGTTCAAGACCTGGCTACTCCACTTCTGATCCAGCTATGGCCTGAGAAAATGGTAGAAGATGGCCCAAATTCTTGGGCCCCTGCACCCACATGGGAGACCCAGAGGAAACTCCTGGCTCCTGGCTTCGGATCGGCTCAGCTCCAGCTGTTGTGGCCAATTGGGGAGTAAACCAGTGGGTGGAGGACCTCTCTCTCTCTCTCTGCCTCTCCTCTCTCTGTGTAACTCTGACTTTCAAGTAAAATAAATCTTTAAAAAAAGTTCTGTTCACAGGCATTT